GGTTTTTAAATTACATTACAGTAATATAGTAACGCAGTTGCTTACATATACGACATGTATATATAAATTAATTCATAACGTAATGTCAATCTTCTTATCTGATGCAGCAATATATGCATCCAGTTAAATATTTTTCACCGGAATTCCATTTTTATGTATTGTAGCGGTTCTTCTATTTATAAACAGTGTCATCAAAGTTTCCTGTGAATTGGTCTTTCTTTATCTCATATTAAAACAGGGAAATGTCGTTGCTCTTTTCGGTATTGGTCTTTTCAAAAGTGAAGGATCCTTATTAGTTCTGTCTTTTTTAAGCGTGTCATAGACATAAGAGGAGTGCTACGAATTTTAATCTTCATCGACGATTTTAGCCACTGTACGTCTACGATTTAAAAGTTATGCTCAATCAATTAAAAAATCTTGTTTCGAGCAGCCATTACGAGAGTAAACATCGTATGTATCTCTATTTTATTCCCTAATATATATCATACAGTAGATACTGCATATAATGAGATAACATTCATTTATAACAATTCCATTGTACTTTCATTATTTTTCAACTTAATCCACTTCGAATTATATAATTATTCATTAATTACCGTAATCATTTCTCAATTTGATATAGGTGGTCGGTTTTGATTCTTTAATAACTGCCGGACCATCAAGGAGTTTCAACCGGAAGGTCTAAATTCAAATTTTTTGGCACATGCGGAAACAGAATTTAAAGGTCAACGATATTTATAATAGCGTGAAAAAGCTGTTTAGAGAATTAATAACGAGCTTTATGGATGCACGTGAATTATCGGCGTCGTAAAGAACTGGCGTTAGCGTGCACGTAAAGCCACGTTCACACTGCCGACGATTATCGCGTTATTCTGTTATCGTTTTTTATTTCAAGTGAAACAATCTATTGCAACATCCGAGGTGTTGTTAGTTATTTCCGAAGTAGAGATGGAAAGCAAAGGAGTTGCAGAAAAGGAATTAATTTTCGATAGGTCAACGCTGATATTTTCTACGCGAAAAAAGTACAACATTATTTTCAGGATAGTGTTTATTTTTGCCACGAGGCGTAACTTATCGTAGCTCTGCTTTACGTTAGCGTTGCGTCCCCCGTCAATTATTATTCTTGGTTCCTTATTTTTGTCTGCCACTAAGCTTGACGCATTTTTTTTCTTTTTCTTCTTTTTCTTTTTCTTTCTCCTTCGCTGTAGTTTCAGTCGGCCATGATTGCTCTGTTCTCATGCAGTTTTAAAATATTGCGCGTAAAACTGCGAGTTATCGACAGCTCCCGGGTAATTTGCATTTCTTGCTCGCCCGTCTGAGAATGTAAATAATTCTCACCAGC